GTTTGTTTTTTTGTTCGTTCATTTGTTTGATTGGACGCGGTAACCTCAGAAAGTACTAATCCGTTTTGAAAAATTCTTTTTGCATTACATAACCTGTTTATTGAGGAAGGCTATAGGCTATATATCATCATACTCCTACCCAAGGTAGCGGAGCAGTTATCATAAATGTCAACAAATCTGGCATGACTTCCATACATTATTATTAATAGCATAAAGCCAAAAACTTTTTGCGCGCGCGAAACCGCGGGCTCTACTATTATATATACGTCAGAACGAACCCGAGGGAAGCGAGAGTGAGTCGCTATATAACATAAAGCCAAAGAGTTTTTTTTTTGTAGATTAGACAATCCCTACGTCAATCAATCATCGTCCTCACTATTTAAAAGATAAAAAATTATCCTGTAAGTACCGTATGTAATTCGACCCGCTCTCGCTCGAACCCGGCATTCTTAAATTCATTCATTCGGCACTCCGTCTATTGGTGAAAACTGTATGAAAATCGGTTCGGTAGTTTATGAGTTTATCGCGTTCAGACAGACAGACGCGGCGGATGGACTTTGTTAAATAATATGCAGTGAATATTAATTCAGAAATACATTTTGTTTGTCATAAACTCAAGTAGCAGTTCGGAAATACGCCTCAGATCTAAGAATTGGCGAAAAAAACTCAGCGAAAGTGTTACAGATGATGTTATGTGGTCTGAAAACGTCTGTATAAGATTTTTAAACCACGAAGTACAGTTAGGGGTCACTAGTACAATTTCTAGCAATGCCCGTTGCAGTTTACTCAATTATCATTATCTCGAAGGAGTCACTTGTTTAATAAAATATATGTTGGGACATTAACACACAGCGCTATCTAGTTCCACGGTAAGCTACGAGGCTTGTGTTATGGATACCAGATAGTTGATACACTTCACATATATAACTTTAAGTATATACATATTATAAATATAAACACCCATGACTGAAGTACAAACATTCGTGCTGATCACACAAATGTATGCCCCCAGCGGGACTCGAACCCGCGACTTTTGGCACAGCAAGTAGGTTCACTACAAACTGAGCCAAACGTGTCAAGTTGTTTACAGGTCATTATTTAATTTTGCTGTCAGCGTGACTCATGCGTCGCAACATTCGGTGACTATGTTGAGAATTTGACTGACTTCAAAAATGGAGATACTTAATACACACATGATATTTTTTCTAGTTTATATACCTATTTTTACTCCGTCGATCCGTCCGATTGTGCCGTACAATCTATAATTATATCTATTATAATTCGTATAATTTGTACGTCAAAAGTGGTTCTATATCCAAACTAATATTATAAAAGTGTGAAAGTGTGTTTATTTGTATGGAGATAGTTGGAGGGCTGGTGAGTGACATAGGCTACTTTTTACCGCGGAAGATTATCTCTTTACCACAGGAAAACACTTTATAATACAATCCAAAAAACTATTTATTATCAGAATTACTTGAAAGTCGGTATTAATGACTTTCAATACAATTAATAAATACGTATATTAGCATTTTTCACAAACCTACCTTTTTAGTTTTTTTGTAATTTTAGCGCGAGTGAAGCCGCGGGTTCTGCTAGTAGAATATACATGTCAAGCAGAAATCTACATCTGTTAAATATTACCTATTCTTTAGTTATAATGAAATTGGCGTAACTTTTTAGTTAAAAAATATTATTAAGAAATATTGTTAAAGAAACATTTTTAGTATTTATATATATACTAGCGACTCACCCTCGCTCCGCTCGGGTTCGTCCCTGGGGTGGGGTCTGGGAGGACCACCCTTATCCTTATCACTTAGGGCTATGAAAAATAGATAGTAGCCGATTCTCAGACCTACTGAATACGCATATAAAATTGGGTAAAAATCGGTAAAGCCTTTTCGGAGGAGTACGGTAACAAACATTGTGACATGGAAATTTTATATATAAGATATATATACATTTTTAATAAAGATATTTTTGTACCTGTATGACGAGTACCTACAATGTAAATCGAGTATTGTAAATATGAATGTTGTACTGCCGTCATAACAGAAGAAGAAGAAGGCCGTAACTTCGTCAAAGTTGATTTTGAGATATTTGAAGTTTTGTCTTACTCCTACGTCAAAATTACTACTAGTTTTGACGTAGTTACGATGAAAATGGTTATGGTATCTCCGGATTCATAAGACTTAGAGAGATTTATGAGTAAAACTAACAAGATTTATTTATTTTTTTCTTTATTATCCATCTGTCCGTATGTTATAATCATTTTACTCAAAACCTATTGGAGCTACATCGCTGTAGCTTAAAATCTGCAGTCAAGTTATAATAAATTTAAAAAAAAACGGCACTCTATGTCTACATGAAACTGAAGGTAAAAAAATAATTTCAGTCCTCATAAGCGTTATATGGCTCTAAATTCGTAAACATTTGAAAACAAAATAGAACAATTTTTGAGAAGAGAAGGAGCATTTTTTTGCTGATTCCGAATCTGCATATAAGTCATTTTTGATCAAATTGTTAGTTACGGCCTTCTTTCTTATGACGGCAGTGTACGTTTTTTAATAGTTTACATTGAAACGATAGGATCGATTTGGGTGAGATTTAATACTATATATAGATCATGACCTGGAGCAACACATAGTCTACTACTGCTAGGTACCTAGGTCTTAGAGGTCATCCAAACAAAGCAAGGATAAGTCTTTTGTATCTTAATATTTTCATTTTTATAATTTAGCTCATTTTATTTTGATTGAAATCTGCTAATTAGATAGATTTCATCAATGAAAAGAAAAAACACAAAAAAGTTTGTAATATTTTATTGATACAGAGTCATACATGTTACATAATGTACACGATTTAATTAACATAATTACAATTCAATAACATAATACACCACATCCTGAACTGCGAACGGCGCCGGGAATCGAACCTGCTCCCGTCCAAAACTCCGAACATGTTTAAATGTTAGAACTTTATTAAAAACCGTTAATATACATAAAAATAACTTTACTATTTCTACAACTATTAAAGCTAAGTACACACTCTAACATAAATAAGAATTATTTACAAAATTATACAAAATCCCCATATAAAATACAATTATTATCGAGACAGTATGAAGGTATCCTTCAAAGACACACGTAATGGCACAAAAAAAAGTGAAAAAACGTGTTATTTATAATAAAAAAATCAGATTATTTTCACTGTAACTAAATCACGCAGTCAATGTTAGTGACATGATCTATAGATCAGTTATAGTTAGTTGTAAGGTATAAAAAAAACTTAATTACATATTGATTGATATAAATCAAATATTTTCCATACAGAATACAGCTTTCACACCGCTATATGATATAAAACTAAAATCTTTGTTTCAACAACTTCTTTTAAAAATAAACATTTTATAATAATATTAGTTTTATTTGCATATTAAATCAATTGCAAAATGTACTTCAAATATTAAAACATTCTTCCCATACCAAAGAGCTCTCTCTACCCAACAAAGTAAAATATAACATATAAAGAAAATTTTATTAATTCGAGAGTTACATGATTCTTTAAGAAAAATGAGAAATAAAAATGGTAATTGAAAAAACAAAATGTAATTAATAATATCAAAATGATTCAAAAATCAATCAGATGTACGAACACAATTCAAAGTATTAGCGGTTCTCAGAAATTATAATAGATAGTTGGAATATTTTTTATACAAATATATAAAAGTGACCATTTAAATACTAAATTTAATATAATATTAATATTATATGTATATTTTATAGTTTTTAGAGAACATTCGTAATATGAGGTGAAAAAGCGTGCAAAAATGAACTCAGATCGCGCTGAGCTCAAAGACGTGAGGGGTTGGTGAAGTTTTACGTGAATTTCTTACAAATATATGTATATATTTAATAATAGTTCAAAATTTACTTTTTCTTAAATTAAAATATTTTTTGTTTAATGTATTCATTTCAATTGATACAATGTTTTATTTAAATAAAGTATCTGGACGACCATGCTCCTGCATTTTGTTTTATAATATATTTTTTTTGGAAAAGATATATTAAAATTATATATAATTATATAATCTTTTTTTATAGATTATAATATAATTATATATAATTTTTATAGATAAAAAGCAAAATCTTAAATGCAAAGTGTGATCCAAATCTAACGATTTTCAAATAACCGGTTCCGAGATACACAAAATAAATGTATATATAAACGAGATAGCTCATTTAATATTAAAACATAAGATATAAGAAATTCACGTTGAAACACAAAACCTTAATCTGCTATAATTTTATCTTGGATAAAAATATAACAGTTAAGAAAAGTAGGGATGTTATTGTGAAATAATAATTATTATAAAAATCAAACAAACAGACGCATATACGAAATCATTTGTGTATATTTAAATAATAAGGATTCTTCATGATTTATTCCAAATAAAAATAGTTTGGATATAATTTAAGCTTTAAATATGAAAAAAATATGTGTTCGATTAATCATCGTCTTAGTACTAATTTGTCGAAACGATCGATTCACCGAAAAAGTTATTAATATAGAATTATTGACTTTTAAATGTAAATTCTATTGATATTAAATACATATTTTACTTTAATAAAGCCGAAAAAATGTGTTTTATATATAAATGTATGTATGTATATAAATCTTAGATATAAAGCTTTGTTTTTAAACTAGAGGAAAAAGCCTCTACTGTAAAAAACAACAAGTATCGGTTGTTAGAACAAATAAGTACTAAGGGGATGTATGTGTGACAATTAGGTTTATTTAAGAAAAAATCCCTTGAAAATATTGATTTATGATGTCAACTACTTAAAGCATGTTAGAAAATGTCGGAAGGTTGACTATCGGTGAAGGTATATCGGGGGGGTGTCGGGGGTGCCGGGGGGTGTCGGGAAGTGTCGGGGGTGTCGGGGAGTGTCGGGGGTGTCGGGGGGTGTCGGGGGTGTGGGGGGTGCCGGGGGGCGTCACACGCAGGAGTACTTGGAGCCGTCGTCGGCCACGAAGCAGTGGTGGCAGTGCAGGCGGCGCGCGCGCACGCGCACGTCGGCGCCGGCGCGGCCGTCGCCCAGCGGCGCGCCGCACAGCGCGCACGCGAAGCAGCGCACGTGGTAGCACAGGGACAGGGGTTCGATTATCATCGCTGCACCGCGACCTGCGACATTCATTGTTTCTTACTGATATTGAACTTTATTCAATAAACATTTTTGATTCGTCAATTTAATTTAAAAAGCGTCAGTTTCATTTTAAGACTATTAAAGTAACACATACTATCAAAATATTTTTTGTTCCTGTCGTGCTATTTAACACTTTATCTCACATATGATATAGAGATAAGTCCACCTTTGTCCACGTCACTTCCTGTTTATTTTTTTGTATGACGTATTGCTTTGCGATATGAAAAATATGTGTATACTAATATTATAAATACAAAAGATTTTTTTTGTTTGTTTGTCTGTACCGAATAAGCTCCAAAACTATAGAACCGATTTAGGTGAAATTTAGTAAGAAAATAGTTTGGAGACCCTGGGAAGAACATAGGATAGTTCTATCCCGAAAACCCCTTAAAGAATTGAAAATGGGGATGAAAGTTTGTATGGGGAAGCAATTTGGGAACGAGGGTGAGTTGCTAGTAAAGATTATATTATAATAAAATATATAATAATAAGTCCCACTTACCCAGCTCCTCCCCGCAGTGCGAGCACTTGCGCCGCCCGCTCACACTCAGCATCTTGTCCTGCTCCGGGCGGCGACGCTCTTGTGGCATTACTTGCCTGGAAGATGTTAATATGTTTTATAAGTATTTAATATATTAATCAATCATAAAGAATTGGTTTACTAATTAGGTGGATATTGCTATTTAATCTATCGAAAAAGCTTTAATTAATTACAATTAATTATATTCACAATGTTTACGACTTTAGATAACTGTTGACTTGTTCAAAAACCAGTTCTGAGCCGAACAATTTGTTTCAAACTTGCAATTTATTTCAATAAGCAAACTTGGCCAGACCCGGCACTTAAACCGAAAACCTCAGCACCTGCAGTCACTAAACCACCAAAGCAATCTATACATATAATAAAATCTAATTGAGTCGAGTCTGTACAATAAATATTTTTTGTAAAATCTTATTGAAATAGACAATTATCAATACAGAGGCCGAATATAGTTTTTAGATTTTTTGTCTGTCTGTCTATCTTTCTGTTACCGCATCACAGAAAAACTACTGGAGGAATTTTGATAAAATTTGGTATGGTGATTGATAGCTGGTTATCCGGGTCAACATATAGAATACTTTTTACCGCGGAAAATGTCATATTTTACTTATTTTTTATTATTATATATATATATTTATTATTTAACTATTATGTAAAACCTAAGAATTTGGTTTTTGGTCATCTGAACGCGGGCGGCGCCGCGGGCAATGCCAGTTTTGTTGTATAATATGTAGTGATATCTTACGTGCCGGGCGCGAGCGGCGGCGCGGCGAGCGCGCGCTGCGCGTGGGCGGGGCGCGGGCGCGCGCGTAGCTCCTGTATCCTTCTTTGTTCTGCTTCCTAAAGAACAATGAAACTCATAGAGAATATTCTTAAATAATTTTTTCCTTCAATTATGCTTGTGTGATAAGTAAGTTGGCACAAAATTGTCTATGACTAAATTTTTTTTCTTTTAAGAAATAACTATTTTTCCTTACAAATTACTGTCTTAGATTTACGTGAATATTAGACATTTTTTTTATTTTATTTGACATATTTAATCTCGCAAAATACAAAGGCTTTATAGGTTTTTTTTAACGTTATTTTCTTATTTAAGTGTACTAAGCTTCCATCTACTTACAGTGGATTGAGAGGATGAATTACTTCCCTCCTGTTCATACCATAAGAGAAAGCATGGTGAGGGAAAGGATAAAAAACTAAAATACTAATATTATTTCATTGTTTCAATCAATATTAATACTGTCTTTTAACGTAACGTAATGTTTGATAAAACTTTTTATTAGGTATTTTATTTAAATAAAAATCAAGATCTAACATAACATAAAATTTTAAGTCATATTTAGAAGAAATTTTGCCACAAAAATACAATGTGGTATTAAAATTGCTTCATCGAATCCCTTTTGTCTTGCAAAATATAATACTTTTGGTTAATACATGAATTTAATTAGTAATAGGAACATATTTTAATTATTTATAAATATAATTTCGTTTTCTTTACCTGAATTACCCAATGTTGGTTGTAGTTGATGTTTGGCTTCTGTCTCGTCTGGTTCCTCGTCTGCATCCAATCTGTGTTTGAGATCAGTTTTGGAGTTGGCGCTGCACTTAAAGCCTGGAATATAATACCAAGGTTGTCTATTGTATTGAAAACTCTAACGCAAAACTGACAATATGAACAGATGTAGTCCGAAAGCCTGTGGTAGCACAGTGATGTTCAAAACCAGCGTTACGCACCTCTGATATAATCCTTTTCAACTTAAGTACCAATTATCTTACGGGAAACGTAAAAAACCTGCTTGTCTGAGAGAAAATAACTAATTTCTGAAATATGTGTGTGTTACCAACCCACATTTGCCCAGCGTGGTGACCTATGGCCTATCCTCATAAGTGAGAGGAAGCTCACCAGTGGGAAGGTAAGTGGCAGAATGACGTCTAATAAAGACCACACGAGCAGAACCGCGGACAAGAATTAGTTACGTGTAAGTTTAAATCTATACTATATATATATATATATATATATATATATATATATATATATATATATATATATATATATATATATATATATATATATATATATATATATGAATGTAGGGGATATAATCTTTGAAATTACTGATCCGATTCTGACAATCGGTCATCAGGGTATATTTTATTTCAATAAAAATGTGGTTACTGTCAGAAATCATAATAACTTAAAAAAATAACGGAAAAAATGGCCGTTGAGTTACTTTATGAGCTATTGTTAGGTAGCTAGGGACGCACCCGAACGAAGCGATGGTAATTTTGTAACTAAGTCGAATCTGTACATTAAATATTTTTTGGAAAATCTTATTGAAATAGACATTATCATCGAAACAGAGTCCGAATCTATAGTTTTTAGAATTTTTGTCTGTCCGTCTGTCTGTCTGTTACTGCATCACAAGAAAACCGCTAGACACATTTTGATGAAATTTGGTATGGTCATAGCCGGTTATCCGGGTCAACATATAAGATACTTTTTGCCGCGGAAAAATATCTCATTTCTGAGAAAAAATACAAAAACTGCAATATAAGAGTATACTAATATGTAAAACCTAAGAATTTGGTTTTTGGTCATCTGAACGCGGGCGGCGCCGCGGGCAATGCTAGTATTATAATAAAACTACCTGTAACGTGTGTCTTGTCATCGGATGATAGCTTCCATTGCCATTGGCTTGAGCCTTCTGGCGCATTTGTACGGCGTTCCTGTCTATATTGACGTATTCCACTGCAGATGGGACTCGACTACTTCTGAAACGAAAAAATATATTTGAAGTTGGTACTAATAGAAACTAGAAAGCTGAATGTCACTTTTCTTGATTATATATAATATATATATATATATATATATATATATATATATATACACTACATTTGACGTTATCGCTGTTAAAGAAAAAACAAATTAATAAGCTGACTGATAGAACCACTGTCTAAATCGTTGGCTAGAAGAATGATATTTTGCACAACAGAACGATAAAAAACGGAGTTAAACGCAAAATAAAAATAGCACACTCACGTAGTGCCATTTAATTTAAATTTTAAAAAGGTACAAAGTGTCGATTCAAATTTGCTTTAAAATTATATTTGAATAAAGTATATTTTGATTTGATTAATTTTAAATATTATTAGAAAATATAATATATAGTAACTATATCTTATCACATCTTCACTTTGTGGTCGTTTTAGACGAACATAAATCTATCCCACGGGAAAAATGATCAGTTATTTTTTAAAGTAACCTATATGTTATTCCAGATTATAATCTATGTCCGTGCCAAATTTCATCCAAATCCGTTCAGCCGTTCTGGCGTGAAAGAGTAACAAACATTCACATATCCTCACAAACTTTCACATTTATAATATTAGTATGAGTATGGATTGTATGATCAATAGAAACGTTTGAAATACAGTAATCATACCCGTGACCTTTTTCTGTAATAAACTAATCAGAAAATAAACCAGACATGACACGAGATAATCTTTGATGACGTGACTTGAGCAAAGATGAATAACAATGATGCCATATTACATGTCATCTTTATTACTCAGATCTGAACAGACAAACAAATGAGCGAGCTCAGCGTACTGTATTAGACAAATATATATATAGGCAGTGGTAGCCCAGTGGTAATGTGCTCGCTTGGGAAACCGAGTGAAGCGGGTTCAAATCCCGGGTCTAGCATCTCTGATATTTTCATGTGCGAATCATTCCCAACAAGATTACCACTTGTTACAGTGAAGGTAAACATCTTGAAGTCCACTGCTTTATTTAAATTTGAAAATATATCACATAAATAATGCGAAACCTTGTAGTTGTGAATATATGTACATAATATTTTGAAGTTAATAGAAACAAAAATAGTTTTTTTTTATCCTGGCATAAATGCAGCAAATGGAGCCGTAAACAAAAACTAGTTAAACTATAAAACATAAGTCACTTACCTCATAGTTATTTCTCTTTCGATAGAATCCCGACTTCTAGGCTTTGGTGGTAGGATAGGCTGAGGGATTTTCATCACATTTGGTACAGCTTTTCTGACTTCAATCAATTTATTATCATCGTATAGCACTTTACGACTTTCTTCTACACCGAAATGGCTTTGGATGTGTTCTTCGGAAACGAACGGTTTCCTTTTTAATTCTTCATCAATATGCATTTCGTGGATAGTTTTTTCAACCACTGGCATGTAATTTTCTACTAAAAGATTTGGCATGGAATGCCTATAGTTCCCATTGGTTTTGTTAGCTCTATATATTATTGGTTTTTCTGGAACAACTGTAGATACATCTTGAACTGATTTTTGAATCATTCTATTTTTATCTCTTAACAAATTCTCCCTCTGCCTCCTTAGCTCTTCTTGTTCTAACTGCAGTAGCTCTCGCTCGAAACGCAGTACCTCCTAATTTTGGATTTGGTTAAGTATCATTTAAGTAATATTTCAAGTTAGTCGAGTTTTAGTGGAAAGAAAAGCGCGTGCAATTATAATTAATTTAATGATTTTGAAATATAAAATTTTCGGTTTACACTCAAGGAATGGCAGGGAGATATACAAAATGGCGGCTACGAATAGCATAGACCAAGATTCTAAAGCTAGTATCTACTATGTGAGTGGAAACCAAAAATTTATTTTAATTAAATTGTTTAGTGTAAAAACAATCACCTTGGTGTGAACATCGTCAAAGTGCCCGTCAGGCCAATCCTCGTTAGTGGCAGCCTGGAATATATATTGGCGGCCATCTTGTTTAATGTTATTTACACAAAATGGTGGATGATTATTACGGAACTATTATATTGAAAACAATATCATCAAATAGTTTATTACGGAATATTATTATGTAGCTTTGAATATTTGTATTGGTTGATATTTTAAATTAAAATCAAAGTCTGTTTAGTTGCAAATGAAATGATTTAGAGAAGTAATTATTTTTATTGTTTTAAAATAATATAATCATTGTATTGGCTCAGTAAAATAATCTAAATATAATAGTTCCAATGTGAAACAAAGTTAATTTAAAACAAACAATAAGATTAGCACAAAAATTCAAAATGTTGAATTAATGAAAAAAAAAATCAATCAAATAGTGCATGCACAGTGCAATAAAAGCTTTAAAAGGAGGCTTAAAATAAAAGGCAGGGTATATAGTAACATAAATACATTTTATTTAAAAAAAATACATATCTCGGATACTAAACAAATCTACATTACTCGTATATTTATTGCGTTGTTGAGATATAGTATATAATTAAGGAATATTAGAAAGCGGTGTCTGTTACAATAGAAAAAGAATATATGAGTGTTACCAGAACCAAATTAAATGGTATTCGCAAAACAGGAAAAATAATATTACTAATTAACGACAACATTCCGAAAATAACGGGATTTTTATCGTAATCGTTATTTTGATATATATTCCAGATTTTTTAATCATTACTCAAAAATATTTTGATCCAGTCTGTTTTACGAATGTACAAAATAATAATTGATCGATGGCACTGTGAAGCGTTAACCCTTAACCATATTTATGTACATACCAAAACCATAATACAAGCTTAGTCATACATTTTTTTGTAATTTATATACTTTTATAACAAAATTAAATCATGATTCCTACATAAAATAACTACGAGTAAATCGAATAAACTTAACAAAATCTACCAATTATAATAATAACGTGTTCTATCAAAAATATACGTTATTTTAAAATAGTTATTGTTTCTTCTAAAAAGGAACTACAAGCTTATTATAAAAATAAATATATATGTATATGCAAAATCAAAATTTCAATATACTTGATACACACAAACATAACTAAACTGATATTCTCATAGCAATCAAATTTATATTTTATTAGGGTGCATCTAGAAAAAACATTACAGCCATTACTTATATCTAACTACAGAGCGATTACGAAATGTATTACAAAAATGAAATATCATATTTTCAAAATTAATAACAAAATTAGTTTTGAAAAGAATATTCATTTTTTATTGGAAAATAACTAATCTTTGGTAATCTTTAAAGTTATTATAAATAAGTAATTTGGGACATCAAAACTTGAGATGTTGGGCCTAAGTGCGAATTATATTAAGTAAAGAGCCTTTAAAACGTGCTTAGTTTTATGTAATTTCCGAATAATTTAGGTTTAAACTAAATGACTAATAATCAATCAATGTTTGTATTAGATTTTAAATATATGAAATAATATTTTCTAACTCATCTTAAAATAACAATTACAATTGTAATAACAAAATATATTACATGCTTTAAACAAAGTATTCGTAATCGCCTTTCTAAAAGTACACGAGCTTGTAGTACGAGCAGTAGCTTGTTATGCATCACAATTCTCAAGCCTTACCTGTTGTTGTTGTAGTTTTTTATCCAAATTATCGATTTTGTTCTCATGTGTTTCACCGTTTTCGGTCAAGCCAGTTAGTTTTGTCGCAAGGTCTTTGGAGAATTTCTCAGTTTTACGTTTTGTGACTTCTTCTTCATCCGATGTAACTGTCATTTGTGTGTACGGCTGGAAATATAATAAATAATACATATAAGGTATGTTTTTTCTTTATTTATGTCATACTGTGCTATATAAAAAAAACGAATTTAGTGATTTTCGACTCCATTGCACATAGAAAATTATTAAAGTACAGTAAATTTACCTCGCTATTTTGTCTGCTATGGGAATTAGACGTTTCTGGCGACGACCCTTTGTACCACGCCTCAGCCGATATATCGACACCTGAATCCCTACTATCCCTTAGCTTCGCATCCATTTCATGTGAAAGGGTTTTTTTGTATAACAACTTTTCGATTTTCGTTTCTTCTTGCAAAAACGAAGTGATGTCAGGGCGCGGCGCTAGTGTAAGATCGACGTCTAAATAACTATCATCAACTTGACCTTCAATTCCCAAGAAACTAGTTCGTTTATTGCGAATTTCCTTTTTAATGCGACGTGCTGATCTACTGTGTTTAAAGTTACCCTGGAATGTAATGCATCATTATTAGTATTTGTACTCATAACTAGAGAAATATTTCACATATAATATTTACTTCTTTTCTAGATTGTTATTTTATAACAAAATTCATAAGAACTAACTATTACAATAACTTTAGATCGCATTGCAATACGCTACAAGTATGTTACGAAAAGTGACAAATTGAACATAAGAGATTAGATCAAATCGTAGACCAAAAATTCAAACTTTGAATTATATTATAACTAACGGCTCACCCTTGCTTCGTTCGGGTTCGCCTCTAGAAAAACCAATCAAATCTATCCCACGGGAACCGTACATGCACATGCGTTTCCGACATGTAGCCTATGTGCTATTCCAGACTATAATCTATCTCTTTGCCAAATTTAATCCAGATCAGTTCGGCCGTTCTGGCGTAATTGAGTAACAAACATCCAATCATCCATCTAAACTTTCACATTTATAATATTAGTATACTAACTCACAAACAGTATGTAAAATGTAAAATGTTTGTTTGCAAGGGTACTCACATTTCCAAGAAGTTCATCTTCAGGGTTATCTTCCATAGGCGGTGGAGGGGGCTTTTCTTTGGGCGGTTCCATTGCATTGGTCGGGAGATCGAGGGGGAATGCCGTATCCACAATGCTATGTTGATTCATGATATCGATATTTTCATACAACGGTGTCACAGACACTTTGTCCATATCGAAATCAAGTAATTTGTGGAATTTTTCATTTATTTCGTCGTTTGATTTATCAGTAGTGTCCATTGTAACGTTGACGCTTTCTTCCGAATCCAATTCTTTGAATGCAAGCTCTAAAGCGTCAATTACCTGAATTTAGAAAGTACTATTATAGATATGGTCAAAAAATATGTTTAATCAAAGCTTAAAATAAATTATAAACATTCATTGCGTAAACAGAAACAAAATTATTAATTTTAGAAAATGCAATGGGATTAAGCTAGATAATTTTCATATTTTTTGTAATTTTAGTTGAAAAAAGAACAGAATATTCATTTAAGTGTAATTTGAGAGTTCCCATTACATCTCGTCACATTATAAATAAACATGCTCAAAGAAAATAGCGGTGAAACAAATTAGCACAAAATGCGGTGAATGCATGTTAGAAGCGCACTTACATAATATATCTTACCTTATTAACCCATCACCAAAAGCCGATGAAAAAACCTAACGAGAACCTTAAGTATAATACATATTTAAATGAGCACTAGACATAAGCCTATTCGTTGAACACTATCGTTTTACTGAAACTTAATCAGAAGATAGGGGCCAGTTTACATAAGATATGACTCTCATAAGATAACATTGTCTGTATCATACAATCGAATGAAGTATTTAGATTTCTTCCTACTTATATATAATGAACATGAGGATATAATAGATTACATAAATAAAACCCATATAACAGTTTAACATATATTTCGATAATGAATTTACATATTATATCACGTACAGATAATCTAAGGATGATTAAATGGGGTCTACATTAAGTAATTATAAAGTACAATGAGTGATGTGACTACAAGTTACAAACCCTGTATAAATCTAGGCACTACAAAATGAGCTGTTGTTGTGATGTTTCAGGATTTTTAATTTTATTTACCACACATTTTTAAACACAATGGAATCTATTTAATGAATGAGTACTGTTACGTGACCTATTAGTGTTTACGTGGGAGTTTATGATAGTTATAACGGATTTTGGCAATATGATTCTCGTAACGGAAATTCCCGATGTAACGGGATTGATTTACAGAATTAGTCGCATTCCGTTATTTCAGGAGTTTTCTCGTTAATCACCACCAAAATTCTTTTAAAATATAGGTTAACACTAAAAGTAAGTTAAAAAAGGACCGTAGTTTACAAGATGCTGGAAGACCGTAATATCGGTTTGAAAGAGATCATAAAAGTTCTAGAAAATTAGGCTCATAACTAAAACTCTCATCTATCTTGCAATGCAATATATGAGAACATGTTAGAGCGAAGTTTTAGGTATTTCATACCTTAATTAGACCTTTCGTTATCACCTTTACTACTCGTTGTTACGGTTTTTACTGTTGTTACTTTATTATTTATGAATAATATAGTCTTTCGCCTATTACTATTAGGTTCTACACATCGCTTAGTTCTTTTTTGCCAGAATGGATTAGAATCTTGAGAGTTACTTACCGCTGTATCGTCGGGACTGGGAAGTGTATTAAGGTTGTCGTTGGAATTATGATTAGATGAAAAATGATCAAAATGGTGTGAGTTGTTTACATTTATGACCCCGGAGCTGGTGGCATGCTCTGTTGATGTTACATTGGCTATACTATTAGAAAGCTGGTTATCGCTACATGGCTTTATGTCAATTTTTAGCGGTTTAATAGAATTCTTTGGTGAAATGTTAGTAGTAGTAGTAATATTAGAGACAGTTACCATTGGCATGCTCTTGTTAGTGGAATTGTTTAATAATTCGTTAGTATTAGAGCTAGTCCCAGCACCAGAGCTAAGATTGTTGCATATTTCATTCAAGTTCAAATGGATAGTCATTTTCCCCTCAAACACGACCGTGTCGCCTTCAGATGTAGACAGGTTTTCGTTAAGACTTACACTGGAGTCTTGATTTTCTAAACTTTTCAACGTGTCTTCGTCATCTTTGTCCATTTGTATTTCAGTGACGTCATCTGTAACGCTTAATTCTTCAGGTTGAGAAACTGCTTGGATATAATTACTGCCGCTGTCGCTGTCAGCTTTGCTCATTTCATCAACTTCTTGAATTTCTTCTTTCATTTCATGTTTTAAGTCTGAATCTACTTGAACGGACTCAACAATTTTTGGTGCAGTCATAGCACTATCCTCGTTCGAAGACTCGTATTCAGAAACTTCAGCCATAGGTTCTCCAATGGGAGAAGCTACTTGAGTCAAATCAGCGATGTCGTCTGCAGGTGCACAAGAATCCCTAGCAGTGTGGATACCACTGTCCTCTGTTTCTATATCACTTTGAACCGTATTATTCTGCATTTCAGCGCAATCAAAATCTTCAAGACTCTGAACTCTATCAAAAGAATTTGGAGAGGATTGACCATTGATATCTAAACTATCGAGGGAACGGCAAAAGCTTTGCATTTGGTTTTCGATGCCCGATAAAGTCATTTTTAAAGAGTTGTCACACAATTTTTCATTCACTTCGCTATCTTCACTTACTTCATTTATTTTATGATTGTTGATGATTTCATCATCGATAGTTATTTTTGGTATATCCTTATTTTTCGCTGCATCAAGGCAAGACATACGTTCTTTGAGGCTCATAGATACTTCTTTAACTTCTGTCTTTGTAAGTTTTACTTCTTCCTCTGATGTTTGTGATTTCAAACTTGACAAGCGTTCTTTTAGTGATCTCGCGTTGCTAAGATCTCCATTTGACAGTCTTTTTGTTTTATCTATTTCAGTAGTTGTTGATTTAACCTTTTCAAGTGAAGACAGCCTATCTTTCAACGGTCTTACTTCAACAGGTAACTTAGTCAGATCACTCGTAGACTTTTGTTGTTGCATGTCTTCGTTAAATTTCTCTAAGTTTGACAATCTCTCTTTAATTGATTTCTTGTTTGCGATATCAGGCAATTTCGGCTTATTTAATTGTGGTTCTTGTGAATTTTCTCTTTCAAATTGTTCCCTTCGTTTATGAATGTCCACTTTGGGTAAATCTTTCTTATTGTTGTTTTTCAGATCGTTCGCCCTCTCTTGTTGGAAGGAGAATACTTTCTCTTCAATTTTATTGCTAACTGAAGTTCTTATTCTGTTTAAGTCACCATTTGACTTTTCTGGGGATTTATCTTTTAAGTTATTATTGACAACGGTTTTAACAATATTACTGTTAGTTTGTGAAATAATTCTCGATTTATATCCCTCTATAGCGCCCTCATATGTATACTCCTCGGGCTCTGGAGAACTGATAGTCGTTGTCGTGCATGTGTCGTATTCGTTAGCACTGGAACCGAGCTTGCGATTATTTTCGCAATTGGATATATTCTCCATATCAGAGTGGTTTTTATCAAGGTCCATACCGTCGCTCTGAAAAAAAAACAAACGTGTCTGTATAACCTGTTATAATACCTTGTAATTAGATGCTAAACCTGTTACTAGATGCTCTATATCAGGCTTAAATATCAACACCTTAATCTAATACTTTTTAATAGTTATTTATTCGAAAATTTTAATTAGTACAAAACTCACGGCCAAGCTGTGCGTGTCGCAATCCTCACTGAGGCTACTTTTGGTACTGGAGGTACCGATTCCAAGATCGCTCAGGTCGTGGCCATCGTCTTCTGTATACAAAGCCAGTGGATTTCGCCTTCTGCGTCCAGCGCTGCAACAATAGATAACATATTTTTAGTACATTTTTTTGATTCTTTATAAGATTCAAAATTATTTAATCCATAGATCATTTTATACAAAAAAAGTGAAATGATTGTTATTATTACGGATTATGTCAACAACCAGGAAATTTATGTTCATATTTTTCTTATATTCATAAGAAAGTATTATATTTAATTATATAACGTAAGTTTTTAACTCCTTTTAAATATAATTGGTCTCAATAAAAGCGAATTAAATTCACATGCCATGGATATAATACATAGTTTCACACATAAAATTCTCAAACTTTAACAATGATTATTCTGTTGTGTTTTTACAATATTATTAAAGGCCAAGTCGGTGTTGGAACAAAGAAATGTACGTAACGATTTCCTAGTCTATCAGACGGAGATTTCCTTTAAGGGCTCGGCCGGTCCAGACCATTGCATTATTGATAGATCGCTAACGGTGATTGTTACTAAATTTCATTCGTTTGACAACATTCCTCTTATAAGAGTTATTTCGTAACTTGTAATAATAATCTTACTGACACCTAAATTGTATTTTTTATCATCATATATACAATGTAGCTATTAACATTTAAAACTATATTTGCTAGAAATCGAAGTAAGACGAAATAATGTCCCAAAAATATTTATATATTTATTTATAATCTCTAACTGGCATGTACTAGAAGAAATATTATAGAAATACTTTTTTTTTCAACCATGGCTCATGGCATTACTCATGGTTGTTTGTATGTTAGTCAGCGATCTATAAAGGTAGGTGCAAAACTAGATAATGGCTGCTTTTGCAATCGATGTGGAATTTTAAATATCGGATATTGTCAGAACAACTGTGAACATAAGCGGTATTTAACAAAGGTGACGCATATTTTTTATTTAAACTACATACATTGAAACTTAACACTTAGCTATGTTAAAAAACTGTTCTCTCAGACTTTTACGATCGTAAGAAATATTATACCAATTTTAATACGGTTTTTTTATTATTATAACGCCATATATGAAGTTATATGTGAAGGACTAATTTAGTACAATCATAAACTTAGAGAAACAGAATATGTAAGTATTTATAAATATTTTAACTTTCATATTAAATATTCCAACATACTTCTTAGTTTTTAAAACAGGCATATATATTTTAATAAATAATAACTATCAATCTCAAGTAAATTTAGATATTACTAAAATTATTTAGTTTTTAAAACAGTAATTTGTCACTATTTTGTAGCAAAAAACCTTCCTTGCTTCAGAGATTTGATGCAGAATGAAATTCTAATGTTATATATTTAAATTTACGCTTTCGAAGATAGTTTCTCATATTTTTAACAGTTCATTAGCTTCCAAAGGCCTGGTCCACACTAATGTTAAATTGTAAGATTATATATTTTCCTGTGGCACAGTAATTAAAATTGTTTTTTTTTTCTTTAATATGACTAACACTAACAGAACTCGAATTGACAGAAAGATAGCTTTAAGGACAATAGATTAATTGAAATTATTATTAAAAAACCCATTTCAACATAGATATTATAGTAAAATATCAGTTTCACTTACATGCTTAAGATTTGACATAAAAAATTAATTAGGTATATAAAATACTAGCGACACACACTCGCTTCGCTCGGGTTTCGTCCCTAGGTTGATTCTCCATACAAACTTTCAGACCCATTCTGACCCCTTTATGGGATGATTTTCGGATAAAAACTATCCTATGTCCTTCCCAGGGTCCAAACTATCTTCTTATCAAATTTCATCTAAATCGGTCCTGCAGTTTCGGAGTTTATTCGATACAAACAAACAAACAAAAAATCTTTCCTCTTTATAATATTTATATTAGTAATAGATAGGTAGTAGATTTTTGTACAAAAAACCTTTATATTATATATTATTTACCTTATGTTATTCGTTCAATGTAACCAAAGCTTTATGTTTTTATATAAGCATTTAAAAAAACCAGCAAGACAGGTATTTTCAAGGCGAATGTCAATCTAGTGGACACTTTCCGGTGATAAATCTCGTAACATTTCAAATTACATCGATTAAATTTTATGATTATTTTATCATTTAAAATAATTTCTATGCAAGTTACGTACCTAAAAGCTATCACTCAAAAAATTCAAGTTATCTTATAAAATCAATCAAATACAATGTTGTTGGCTGATCAGCATACGCGTAGGCCGCGGGTTCAATGCCAGTTTGGTGTAATTCTTTGCATAAAAATTGTATGTAAGAATTTACTACGTCTTACTCCGAACTTGACACTTATAAATCTCTGTAAGGTTGTATGGTAAAGTACTTACTCGCAACCTAAATATTAATATTTAGTTAATAAATTCTTAGATTTTAAATTATAATTATATAAAATATCTACAATATAATTTGACTAATATCATATATAAAACAAATAAATAGTTCAAATCTCCTAGCACGTGTTAATCTAATACACCTTATGATAAACAAAGTCAAACGTTCACACGGGGTACAAAAGTCAGCACTTGTTGCGCTCAGGTCACATTCAGACGTCGTGTCACGTGTGACGGGGTCTTTACATGGAACATCTCGTAACGATAACGCACACTATCCAGTGAAACATAGCATTAATTGTTCGTCTATATATATATATATATATATATATATATATATATATATATATATATATATATAATAAAATTGTAACTAAGCCGAATCTGTACATTAAATATTTTTTGAGAAATCTTATTGAAATAGACATTATTATCGATACAGAGGCCGAATCTATAGTTTTTAGAATTTTTGTCTGTCTGTCTGTCTGTTACCGCATTGCGGAAAAACCACTGGAGTGATTTTGATGGATTTTGGTATGATGGTAGCTGGATATCCGGGTCAACACATACGATACTTTTTACTGCGGGAAAATATCTCATTTCTGAGAAAAAATACAAAAACTGCATTGTAAGAGTGTATTAATAAGCAAAACTTAAGAATACGGCTTTTGGTCATCTGAACGCGGGCGGCGCCGCGGGCAATGCTAGTTATACTATAAAATTAAAGCCTTATTAATTGTAGTTTCGCTAATAAAGACATTATGCAAAGTTAGTGACCAAAATGATACAACAACGTGCATAATACTAATATAGCCTTATCAAGATTCTGCATATATTAATTTTAATAATCTGTAGACACATTAAGTATTTAGAATCTCTGCAATTGCGTAGAGATGTTGCATCTCTAGCCGCTTTTTATCGCGTTTATTACGGCGAGTGTTCAGAAGAGCTCTTCCAACTTATACCCTCCTCTCCTTTCCTCTCCAAAACCACACGTGCTGGTCGGAAATTCCATCCTCACACGGTACTACCCATACCTTCTCGTACCAAAAGGTTTGGCAGCTCCTACCTGTGCCGCACTATTAGGAAATGGAATTCATTACCGTCTCACGTATATATCTTAGATTTACGCGAATATTTGACATTCTGTAAAAGTATATAGTAATAGTGTTGCTTAGTAATTTGTCTTTTTAAATAATAGCAAACTAAATTAAAATTATTATCCTTAATTAATTTTAACTTTTTAAATTACACATAGAACAATTATATGGATTAAATAATTAATACTATATTTTATATTTTTCTTTATGGTTATAAATATAATAATGGCAACACTAAATATAGATTACTAATTAATATTTTTAAAATTGTTATAATTATAAGAATAACAGAAAAAATTAAATAAATAATATTCCATATTCAATTATAAAACTAATTAAAATTATAAAAATGTTTAAACTTGAAAAATATTGTAAGGTAATTGGTGCAATTTTCAATTGTGGGTAAACTGTTTGTAACAACTATACTTTCGAGACATGTAACACCTCAGTCTCTCCCGTGACCATGGATGCTGTAAAGCATTCGAAACGTCGGGAAACAAAAATACAAATAAATCCGCGAAAAAATCAGAAAAGATAGTTTAATTTAAAATACCCACTCTATTAATATTTTTTCACAAGCGACTCACCCTCCTTTTGCTCGGGTTCGTTTTAACGGTTAGTATGGAAGAGATAGAATATATATAATAAATACTATAATTATATGATCAATAGCATATAGCTGTCCGCAAAACAGGGCTGTCTAATGCAAAAAGAATTTTTCAAATCGGATTAGTTCCTGAGATTAGCACGTTCAAACAAACAAACTCTACCTCTTTATAATATTAGTATAGATATAACATATGATTTACATTTTTTATTATAATTCACCAGAAAGGTTTTCCAGATGTACATAGTTAAAACCTCTCTTTCTCACGATTAACACACGTTGGATCATAAAAAAATCGTGATCGGTGTCGCTGATGTCGAGGGTCATCTAACGTAACGAAAAATTTCAAGCATTTGTAAGTCATACAATGCGCGGTGATTCAAATAATTTGTATGCTTTTCTTGAGTTATTTTTGTTTTCTGAGGGCAAATAGAAAAAAATTAAATAATATTTTCTTATTGCAATTTCAAATCTAAAATTCAAAACGAAAAATTCGAAACTTGTTTCTTGTGTGTATGTTTTGAATTATTGGCTTGTTTCAAAGACAATTTAATTTTTGATCAAAATAACTATTATTCATAATCAAATCATAATTATTATAAAATAATTATGACTTAGGTTTTAGTGGGTAAAGTAGTCTTTGAGTACAGTATTTTGTGATATTTTTACATGCCAAGACGTAGTTTTGCTTTTATCTCCCACTAAAACCTAAATCACGTGTTAATTGGAGCTACACATCCACTGGAGCATCGGCATTAAAGAAAAGTGAAAACTTAAAAATACGCATACATCTGCGTTATTCGTCGCGACTTTCGCCGTCATACTTTTGGACATTTGAATAGAAAGCTTTGGTTATAATATACAACGCCACTTAATATGGACGCGATAATTCGTCGTATTTAATAAGGTGGGACCGATTTATTTGACGTTTAGATTTATTATGTTTTATATATTTATGGTGGTTTTGTGGGATA